ATATTTATTATAGAATTTTAAGAATACATCCTAATATAATGCCTTGTCTCATTTAGAGGTGAGAGGTTTCAAATACTTTGCTGACAACCTATTACAGCTTAAGCAGCCCTGACAGGCAGGGGGGAAAAAAGAATCATTTTCCCATTTTACAGACAAAAACACCAAGATCTCAGCCAAGGAAGGTCCCAAGGGGCTAAGTGACTTGCTGACGTTGCTAGCATCTTCTCCTGCCCTAAATCACATGCATTTATTGTGCATCTATTTTATATCCATGGCCTTGTGTAGTGGATGGAGAACTGGCCTCTTAGTCAGGAATACTTGTGTACAAGTCCCACCTCTAACACAGGGGTAAAGATAATAATAATAATAATAATTTTGTTGTTCAGTCATTTCAGACTTCCCATGTCCCCATTTGGGGTTTTCTTGGCAAAGATACTGGGGTAGTTTGCTATATCCTTCTCCATTTCATTTCACAGGTGAGGACACTGAGGCAAAGAGGGTGAAGCGACTTGCCCAGGGTCACACAGGCTGGATTTGAACTCAGGAAGATGAGTCTTCCTGACTCCAGGCCTGGCACTCTAATCATTCTGTCATGTAACTACCACTCAGATAGAAGCATATGCTATAGCTTCATTTGTTATTCAGTGCATGAGCACGCAAAGGAGAGGGACTTAATGCATGCCCCAAACCCAACTCAGCTCTGTTCATCATCACGGCGAGTCACATCGAACATAAGCTTTAAGTTCAAGCAGGCACTCCTTTATCCTTTCTAGCCCTGCCCTAAAAAACAATTTTACAAAGTACTGAGATGTTGGGAGTGCAGGGATCAGAATTCCCATTTTGCAGATGGGGATAGGGAGACTGCTAGCCGGAAAGTGACTTGAAAGATATTATTATTATCATTACCATCAATTAAGGAGGAATTGTTGATAAGAATGAACCCTTTTGTTGAGAGTAATGATGATTACCATCATTAGTGATCATAATGATAGATGCCCAGAAGCAGAAGCATTTCTCTTTCTAGAACAGAGAACAGAGGGGCTGGAAGCTTCTAGACCTTGGGGCTAGGATATTAACTGGAAAAAATCAGATTGTTGGAAAGCCAAGTCTCCCAAACCCATTCATTGGAGCTTCCACTTTTTCAGCCACCTAAGGTTCAAACATCATTGCCTTCCTCACCTTCTCACTCACCTCATATACTGAATCAATTTCCAAATTTTGAGATTTCTTTCCCAATAACATCTCTCACACACTCCCTTCCACTTCTCCCCACTCATATAGCCACCATCTTAGTTCAAACTCTCAAGGCAGGACAGCTAGGTGGTGCAAAGGGCAGAGGCACCAGCACTAGAGTCAGGAGAAGCTGAATCCAAACGGGTCCTTAGACACTTACTAGCTGTGTGACCCTGGACAAGTCACTTAACCCCAATTGCCTCCAAAAATACAAAAACAAAAAAACCTCTCATGGTCCCTGTCCTGGACTACTGAGGTAGACTTCTAATTGGTCTCCCTAGTTTTTAAAAAAATATTTATTTATTTTGCTTAGGTGATCGGGGTTAAGTGACTTGCCCAGGATCACACAGCTAGTAAGTGTCCAGTGTCTGAGGCTGGCTTTGAACAGGTCCTCCTGACTCTAAGGCTGGAGCTCTACCCACTGGGCTACCTAGCTGCCCCTGGTCTCCCTATTTCAAGGCTCTCTCTCCAACCCATCCTCCACAGCCGACAGTGAATTTTCTAAAGAATAGGTCCATGTCACCTCACTACTCAATAAATTCCAGTGGCTCCTTATTATCTCTAGGATCAAGTATTGTATCAATTCCTCTGTTTGGGATTAAATCCTCTGCCCCCCCAACCCCTTCTTCTCTTTCTGGTGGTTTAATAAACCTTACTCTCCTCAATACGCTCTACCTTAGAGTCTTGCCAGCCCACTTGTGCCTTTCCCTCCGTGGTCCATCTTACATCTCCCTGACTATGCAGTTGACCTCCCCCGCCACCTACACCCTCTCCTCTAACTCCCAAATGTTAACATTTTTGCCTTCCTTTAAGAATTCATTTATGAGTCACCTCCTCCAGGAGGCCTTCCCTTCCCTTATCAGGCTACCTTCCATTTACTGTGTATTTTCTTATAAGTACTGATTTTTGCAATGTGTGGTCTCCCCCAAGCTCCTTGAAGGTAGGTCTGGTTTCTGCCATTTACCACCTAATGCCTGGCACATAGGAAACATTCAATAAATGCTGGTTACTTGAGTGATTGGTAAGTGATTTAAAACCCTCTTAACCATGTGGATTTAATTTAATGCAACCAGGATTCATAGAACATCTACCATGCCTAAGGGGCATAGAAGAATTATAGGTGAGCTGCCCATGGAGTGAGAAAACCTTTGATTAAATCCTGCCTGTGACACACACCAAGTGTGTGATCAAAGACAAGTCAGTCAACCTCTCAGTGCTCCCCTCCCCCAACACTAATCAACCAACAAGCATTTATTAAACACTTACTGCATACCAGTCATTGTGCTAATCGGGGAATACAAAGACAAAAGGGAATCAGTTCCTACCTTCAAGGAGATTACATTCTAATAGGGGAGGCACAAGTATCCATTCGAGTATATAGAGTCTATCTACAAAATGAAAACAAAGTTATTTTGGGAGGAGGTTCGCCAGCAGCTGAGGCCCCCATCTGGATCCATGTGAGTGATTTCCAATATGGGAATGTCCTTCTCCAGCAAAATCACGGGTGTGAACAAGAACAGCAATAATGACAAAGTAACCAGATTGTGCAAAGTGCTCTGCTACAGTCAATCAGTCAGTCCTGGCCTTCAAAGGTCTTGTATTCTATGGAGAGTGGTGGTGGTGGGGTGTGCAAAGAATACAGTATGGAAACAGAAAATCTATACATGATAATTTGAGGAGGAGAAGGGAATGAGTTAAAAATTTCAAATTAAGGGGCTCAGGAAAGGCTATCCATAGAAAAGGGCATACTGAGCTGTGCCTTGAAGGAAGATAGGTGCTAAGGTGATGAGGGGGTGCTATCTGGGCAGGAGGACGGACAGCCTATGCAGGGATGGTGGTTGGAGATCGGAGTGAGCTCTTGTTAGTAAGTTTCATCTTTTTAAAGTAGTCACTCCCTTTATTTACAAGAGTTGCCTGAAGTCAAAGAAAAGAGGGAAGTGGTGTGGTTCAATCTTTGCAGCTGGAGGAATAAGAACCTGGGGTGGTTCATACTGAAGAGACAGGTCTAATAACTCGGACAAAAGTTTGACGCAGTGGAAAGAGAGATGAACTGAGAATCAAAGACAGGCTGGAGTCCTAGTCTGCTACTCAGTAGTAGCTGGGAGACTTCAAGCAATTCATTTCCCCCTCTGGGCTTCACTTTGTCAAGAATCACTGGAGTCTCCAGCTGGAATTGCCATTGGAGATACTAGGATCATAGCTCTGGAGGTGGCAGGAGCCTTGGAGGTCATCTACTCCAACCTTCTCATTTTTCAGATGAGGCAACTGAGGCCCAAAGAGACTAGGTGATCTGCCCAAGATGAGTTGAATAAGAGTGTGCTTGAAGTACCCTAGGTGCCAGGCACTGGGCTGAGGCACTTTCTACAGTTTCATCCTATCATATTAAGGATGACAAGTGATTAGTAAAACAGAGTGTAAGCTCCTTGAGAGCAGCAACTGTTCTGTTTTCGTCTTTTTATTCTCAGAATCTAACAGCATATGGCACACAGTTGGCACTTGGTAAATGCTTGTTGATTGGTTGATTAGAAAAGTAGCTGGCCAGGGAGTCAAGAACTCCAGGGGGTTCTAATCTTGGCTTTGGCATTGATTAAAATCCACAGTCAAGTCACTTCTCTGGGTCTGTTTCTTCCTCTGTAAAATGGAGGTAAAATGGAGGTAATCCCTGTGTTTTTTCCCTCCCAGAATCCCATCGGATTTAAAGCTAGAACAGACCTCAAAGCTCATTAGAGGTAGCATTGTGCAGAGGAAATAGGACTGCATTTGGATTTGGAGGACCTGGGTTCAAATTCCAGCCTTTCTTCTTGCTTCCTGAGCGACCTTGGACAATCTACTTAAATTCCCTGGACCAAAGTTTCTTCCTCTGTAACTGGACAGGCGGGGACTAGACGGCCTTGAATCTCTGATCCTACCTTGTAGCTCAATTCCACTCCCCCATCCCCATTTTACAGAGGAAGAAACTGAGTCCCAGGGAGACAAAGTGACCTTGAGATAATAAGTAGCAGAGACGGAATTTTAACTCTGGTCTTCTGACACCAAATTGGAGTTCTTTCCACTCAACTGCAGAGTACAGAGTCACAGGACCTTACATTTAGAGCTGGAAGGGAGATATGGAGTTCAGACACTGGAAGTGTGAGGCATGATGGTCTCTTCAACTCTCCACTGCTTCCCTCCCTGCCTCCTCCCAGTTCATCTAAATGTCTCCAAACAGGAGGCTTTTATCGCCGACCTGGCTACAAGGGGTTAAGTGACAGAGCGTAGTGTGGCAGGAAAGGCCGTGGAAGGAACTCAGTTTGCTCCGTATTTGTTGGATGACCTTGGGAGGCACTTTAGCTGGATGGAGGCTTGGAGAGTGAGAGGTTTAGACCAGGTCATCTCTAAGGTCTGAGGCCTTCCATCTGGAAAGAGCTTTGGCTCAGCTCTGGCCTCGGTGGCACTGTCTGGGCCTGGGGCAGAGAGGGCTAACAAGGCATCCCTACTCGAGCATCTCGCAACTTGGCGCCTAGTTTAGGAGCAGCTCAGGGGCCGAAGCCCTGGAGTGGGATCCGGGAGGGCCGGCGGGGGCAGGGGGAGGCGCCTGGGAGGTTTCGGATCCGGGGCCTTGGACAGCGCGGCAGCTGAGCATTCAGCAGTGTCCAAGACCTAGAGCGCCCGGCAGCCCTCTGGCCCGGCCGGGGGAGTGAGGGTGGGGGGGCGGGGGGAGAGCTGGGGGCTCTCCCATTGGCTGCGGGGCGGGGCGGGGCGGGACGGGGAGCCTGGGAGGGCGGGAGGGCTCCGGGTCCAGCCGGGCCCGGAGCAGGGCCGGGCTGCCCCTGATCACTGGTGGAAGGGGCCGAAGAGCGGAGCGGCGGCAGAGCTGGAGCCGGTACTGGGGCAGGAGGAAAGGAGAGCCGATCCGATCCAAGCCGGCCGGATTCAAGCCGGGAGGGACAGCGCAAAGCAGGGCGGGGCTGGTCAGGGCTGGTCAAGGCTGGCGGCCCAGGGCTGGGGGAGGCTCTGGTGCTATGGGCGCAGGAGAGGAGACCTAGAGCAGGAGGCTCAGCGCGCGGCCCGGGCCAGCCGGGTATGGGCACCGAGCGCTGCCCTTGGCCTGGCCCTAACCCCAGCTCCAGCCGGGGCGCCTTTGTAACTCCCCTGCCGCCGCACCACAAAGAGCCCGCCAACCCGAGAGCTGGGACCTCCACCCGAGACCCGGGTAAGTGAGTGGGGACCATCTCTTCTGTCCGCACCCTCTTCCCCCGCCCTCCTGCTCCCTGGGCTGATAGAGCTCTGCCCCGGGCGGCGACGTGGTGTGCGTGGGTGAGTGACCCGTTTCAGAGAGTGTCTGTGTGTAGTGTTTATCTCTGTGTGTGCGTGGATAGTGTGCGTATTGTGTGTACCTGGGAACGTGAGCACAGTGTTTGGGGGCCTCTGGGGGTGGGGATGTATAGATAGTGCTTATGTGACCCTGGGTGTGTTAAATGTTTGTGTCACGGCTGTGTGTATCTGTGTCTATGTCTCTGAGTAGTGGCTACCTGTTTATATCCCTGGGTGACCTGTCAGGATGTGTGTCGTGTGTATCTGTGTTTGTGTATATCCCCGTGTCTGTGTGCAGAGTGTATCTATGGTTATGTGCTTCTTCTGTGTGCAGTGTGTGTGTATGATGTGTGACTCTAGTCTGGGAAACAAATAGATTGGGAGTGAACCCTTCCCCCTTCCCCTTCAGTCTCTTGGGGGCAGGCGGACCCTCCCCATCCCCATCCTTTCTCCTGCATTCAGGGAACCATCTTCTCCTATTGTCCTTCCTGGCTATTCTCACAGTCCTAGCCCCCTTCAGATCTGAGGCAGGAAAGGAGGGGCTCTGGTCCCCAGTCTGAACCTCTTCAACTCGAATGAGAAAAAGGAAGGGTGGGTCTGAGGGTCTGGGGGGTATTTTACTATTTTCAGGGGCATGATCGGGGTCCTAGCTTTTACTGTGATAACGCCAGACAGAGGGGTTGGAGCCATGTGGTTGGCAACCTACCTCTCCTTCCCTCCTCCCAGGCACAAAAGTCTGTAACCATGGGATACGTATCCTCTGGCGTTTTCTTAAGGGGGGGAGGGGGAAGAGGGACAAACCGAGACCTGCCTTCAGGGTTAGTGCCCCTGATACTTCTTTTTGAACCTTTGAGGACTGAGGACATAGGACTTTTTACTTGTCCCTAGGAGAGAAGACAAATCCTATTGATTTTTTTTTTTTGGCTTTGGGTCAGTACTTTAAGGAAAAGAAAAAAATAAACTTATGATGGGGTGTTGAAGAACCCTTTCACTTGTAAAAATAGGAGCTCAAAACACCTACCAGGTACCACCTCATGGACGGTCAGAACCTCTGCTTGGGGGGAGTAGGAGCTGCTGGTACTCTTATTTTAGAGGGGTGGCACACAGGCTGAATGACTCTTCCAAGGTCACCCAGCTAGTGCTAGTCGGAGACATCACCATAGGGGTTTCCCCATGAAAGCTGGGTTGGGGAGCAGAAATGAGCTGAGACTTGATGAAGCTGGGATTTATGGTAGCAAGAGCCCTGTACATGGAGTTGGAGGGCCTGGATTTTAGTTGAGTGACCTTGGGAAAAATCATTTCCTTTCTTTGGACCTCCATTTACTTCCCTGTAAAATCAGGAAGTTGGATTAGAACAGAGCATCTCAACTTTGTGTCCCGGAACTCTTGGGCAGTCTGGTGAAGCCTATGGGTCCCTTCTTGGGATCATTTTTTTAAAAAATGCATAACATAAATCACATAGGATTACAATGGAAATGAATTATATGGAAATAAAGATGTAATTTTCCCCACTCAAATTAATGGACCCCAAATTAAGAATCCCTGTTCCAGATGACATTCTTCTGCTTTAGCTCCATCTGCTATTTCTTCTGGCTCTAATTTGATAGGAATATTGACAAGTAGAGTTGTGGTTTCCATGTAGTTTGCTTTACTTGTGTCTGTGAGAGTCGGGGAATGTTTGGGCTTGGAGGTGGGAGCTCAGCTTTTGTGGTATAGTGGAAAGGGCTCTGGATCTATAGACAGAAGACCAGGGTTCAAATTCTGGCTCTGCTGAGCCTGGCCAAGGCATTTCCCTTCTCTGGACCTCAGTTTCCTCTCCTGTAAAATGAGATGATTTCCATGGTTCCTTTAAGCCTTAAATCCTATGGTTGTAGGTCTTTGTATAATTTTGGAGAGTTGAAGTATGGTCAGGTGGCCTGGGTGGGAAGTTCTAAAGGCTGATGACCCCTCTCAGGAGGTTCAGCTCAACTAATATAGCTCAGGTGAAGGTGCTCTTTTCCTTCGCTCCTATTCCAGGAGCTGCACCTTGAATGAGCCCAAGCTTTTGGTGGAAACAGGAATTCTTCTGGGCAACATCCTGAGGGAGGGGGGATGGAAACTAGTCATAGGATTTAGGGTGGCCTGGAGCTTCCTGAGGTTAAATGACTGGCCTAGGGTCTCACAGCTAGTAAGTGCCAGAGATGGGGCTCGAACTCAGGTCTTGGTGACTGACTCCAACTCCTGTACTCTCTCCACTATACCATGCTGAGTGCTTCCAATTGGCTTTTTCTTGCAGCTTTGAGATCCATGGTTATTATCATGATACTTGAAATTTGTAGAGTACTTCATGTGCCTTGTTCAGCCAACAATTCACCAGAATAAACATTTATTAAGCACCTGTTACCTGTCGCCAGCAGTGTGTCATAGTTTAAAGAGTCAGGGAGGCCATGTCGTTGACACTTTTACCTGTGTGATCTTGGGCAGATTCTTAGCCTCTCTGTTCCTAGCTCCTAAGACTTTGCTGCCAAGTCATAGATTGAGGTTTGGATAGATGGAGGGGGTTGCTAGGGTTCACAGATCTAGACCCAGAAGGGTTCTTAAAGAGGTCATTTAGCTCACCCTGTACCCAGGGGGGATTATATAACTTTAGTAAGATCAAACTGGCAGTAAGTGTCAGAGCTCCTGAGGTTTGAACCTAGGTCCTTTCCACTCCAGAACTCCTGCTTTTTTTCCCAATATATCACACCAAGGTCATGGAGCCTTTGCCAATTCCTTTTTTTTTTTTAAGGCAATTGGTGTTAAGTGACATGCCTAGGGTCACACAGCTAGTAAGGGTCTGAGGCCATATTTGAATTCAGGTTCTCCTGACTGCAGGGCCAGTGCTCTATTTTCGGCCCCACCTTTGCCTGTTCTCCTACGTATATTATACTGTGCTAGTGCTAAGGATATGAAGGCAGAGACAACCCAAATCCTACCCCCAAGGAGTTTATAGTCTAGGGACACTAGAAAGAAAGCTGAATTTGGACTCACAGGATGCTGACTCTCTGCTACTTAACTTCCCTGGGCCTCAGTTTCCTCACCTGTAAAACTGCAGGGTTAGACCTCTAGACTCATGGATCTTATAATGAGAAAGTAGGAGAGGGGACAACAAACATACAGATACCTGTAATACATAAAACAGTGATATAAATAGAAAAGGGGAGGAATGATCTTCTAGCAGCTCATAATCTTCCTATGTACTTTGGCAGCAATATGAGGGAAGAAACAGTGATCATTTTTATTAGGTGGAAGGGAGGGGACTGCCAGGGAAGGCTTCCTGGAAGAAAAGACACGCGGGTTGGGCCTGGAAGAAATGAAAGAGCCTGGCTAGAAAGTTGGCCTTGGAATCTAGAATACCTGGGACTATTAAGTCCCCCCTCTGACACAGAGTGGCTGTGTGACTAGGAGGAAGTCACATTTTCTTTGCGTCCCCAGTAGCCCTGGGTATATAGTAAGTATCTAATAAATGCTTGTTGATTGGTTGAGTTATTAACCTTTCAGTTCTCCCAGGTAATACTCTAAGTCAAAGAATAGGTATTAGTCTGGGGCAGAGAAAGTTTCTGCATTAGAAGTTTTCTAAACCAAAGAAAAAAATAAATGAAAGAAAAAGAAAGGATTTCAGCAGATGGGGGTGGAGGAGGGAGGGGATTTCCAGGCAGAGGGGATGTATGACCAGGAGCAGAGATAAAGAGAAGATGGCAGGATGAGATTGGAAGATGCAGAATAGCACACGGTTGTTTTATTTTTGTTTTTGATCACAGAGGATCAGTAAGGAGGAAGGGAATGAAGCTGGAGATGAGTTGGTGCCAGATTGTGAAGGACTTTGAAGGCCAGGGTTAGAAGTAGATACTTTATTTAGTAAAAAGTGGGGATCTGCAAGAGATTTTTGAGTTGAGATATCACATGATCAGAGCAGCAGTTTAGGAAGGATACTTAGGCAGCACATAGAAGAGGTGGGATGGAGAAGGGTTAGGTGAGGCTGGAAGACCAGTTAGGAGGCTATTGTCATAGTCTAGCCCAGTAGTCTCCAAAGTGGGTGCCACATTATGACCCTAAGAAGGCTGTGGTTTGATTCCTCCTGCCCCAAAGAATATGGGATTAACCACTCAAGAGGTGGGAAGATGGGTCCAAGGTGAGAAGATGGGTCATATCTCATCCTCCACACCACAGTCAATCAGGGGGCTTGTCTCTATCATACCCACACCTACCTTTTATCTGTTTCAGCCCAGCACTCCTCCATTTACCTTCTCCCACAGTTATGCAAGCTTCCAAACTCCTCCCATGTGAACCTGGGCATCAGTCCCACAGGACAGTTATAACCTAATCCCAATCCAGGCACCCGTAGTAGCAGCTGGGCAGGAGCTATTGGGAAGAGCTCTCTTCTCCCCACTCATATAAACCAGGAAAACAATTATTGGTAGGGGTGCTTGATTAAAGAAGTTTGGAGACCAAAGCAGGAAGAAATAAATGTCAAAACAGATTCACTTGAGTCTTCTGACTGTCTTTATGGCAGGCAGGCAAAGTTAGTGGTATTATACTCATTTTACAAATGGGGAAACTGAGGGTCAGAGAAATGAAGTTCCGTGTCCTAGGTCACATGGTAAAGCCACTGTAGAACAGGATTTAAAACTTGGGTCTTTGTCTCTTAGAAATGGCTTTGTCTCCTACGGGTGGTTGGTGTGGTACCTGAGTACAAAATGGTCCAAACTTTTCTGTTTAGATTTGATTTTTTTTTTCTGGATCACAGATTCATGTGATGACTATTTATTGAGTGACTCCTGTGCCTAGAGGGGTGCTCTGAGGAACAGAGAGGTCTGTCACAGCTCCTGCACTCAAGGAGCTTACTGTAAGGTGGGAGAGAAAATAGGTACCCATGGAATT